GAGTGACTGGGAACCCCTGATGATCTCAGTAATGGGAAGTACCTTGAATCACCTTATCAAGGTGGAATAATTGTACAATATTTTATGAGCCAGTTTCTTCATTTGCAAATGAGGATAATGGTAGCTGCCTCACAGAGGTGCTGGAAGGATGGACGGGGATAATGTATGGAAAATCCTTAGAACAGCAACTAGAATACAAGCCCTCAATGATGAATGTTGTCCGCCATCAGTACTGTCCTCACCTTCATCATCGCTGTCATCATTCTCATCCCATCCCCATTCTAAGCATTATCATTGCCATCATGGCTGTCATTGCCACATCCCCATCCTCACCACCATCACCAACATCCTCCTCCTCACCACCATCATAATCAACACCATTATTTTTTTTTAAGATTTATTTATTTACTTATACAAGCACTGGGTACAGTCAGAAGCACGGGAGGGTGAGAGAATTCACCAGAGCCAGAGCAGGGAACAGAACAGGCAGTCTGACAAAGTACACTGCTGAGGGGAGCAGCGGGTGCGGCAGGAGAGGTCTGCACGCCATGTGGGACCCTCGCCTGGCGGCTGGGGATCGAACCGGCGCTGCAGAGGCTGCGGGCAGCTTCACAGCCCAGTGCCCAACCGCTGTGCCACCAGGGGAGGCCCTCAACACCATTTTTATCTTCACCGTCAACACCACCACCTAGCCAGCCTCGCCATCATTATCCTCACCATCACCGTCCTCACCATCATAACCTTTGCTTCTCCTCCCCTCCTATGTAGATGGCTGTGTTAGGAATTACAGTAGCAGAGAATACAGAAAATACTCATGTTCCTCTCTTTCTTTTAACCTTTTGGGACCCTATCATGATATTGCTTGTATTAGAAGATCAGGTGCCTTTCACCATCAACTCCCCCTACTGCTGAATGAACTAGAAACGAGCCCTACTCATCAGCCTTCCTGTTATTACCCTCCATCCTTCTCTGGCTTCTTAGAACCAAGAAGCTGTAATCCCGGAATACAGTCTGTTTTCCCCCAGCGGATGTTCCATAGAGCATGTTTTAAGAGATGTTAGATGGGAGCTAAGGGCAGCAAGGAGACATGTATTTTGGGAGCCCCCTATTCTCTATCCTGTACTTTTGGACCCACAGAGCATATTATTTTAGAGCCTCTTGCTCAAGTCTCCTGACTCCATGAATTTAGGGAAAAAGATGGTGGGTCTGAAAAATACTGCCTAAGGCAAGTCTTACTCAGCCTTTCTGGAATTGCTAGCCTGACAGATTACATAAGGTAACACATGATCTTATGTAACTTACAGGCATTGGCTACAGTGAGTGGAACGGTCTTGGAGGGGGCCAAATAGTGGGGAGGGGACATGTACAAATGGCTCGGCCACCATTACTAGGACAGATCACGGCCTGTCTTTCAGTTCCAATCTTAAAGCTGTGGTCCTCGTTTCACCTGATTTCATGTACCTTCCTGTCTGCTCTGCCATGATTACAACAGTAACGCTGGGGTAGGGGAGCCCCTGGGTTGTTGGGGTAAAACCAGTCCCTTCTGTATGCTCTATGGGAAGGGCAGGGGTACTTATCTTGTTTCTGCTTTTGATTTTTTTTTTTAAAGAACTTTGCATCACCTTCTGGATTGCTTTGGAGACATCCTGGCTGGGATGTTGAATCAGTAGAACTGAAAATCACACCTCTATTCTCATTCATTGCTGCAAGAATGTCAAATTCCTAAGCCTCTCGGAAGGGTGATTTGGCAAGGAGTATTAACAATCTCTAAATGTGTGTCTCCTTAGGGTTTGACTCTGGGTTCTCTCCCTTCTTATTCAATACTTCCTTTGTAAGTGTTACCAGTCACGCCTATGTCTTGTCCATCCATCCATCCATCCATCCATCCATCCATCCATCCATCCATCCATCCTCCATCCATCCTCCATCCATCCTCCATCCACTCATCCATCCCACAGATATTAAGAACCTACTGTTTAGCACGTGTTCTTCTAGGTTGGGGGACACACCATTAATAGATAAAACCTTGGCACCCCAACTTTGACGTCCCATGGACACCTCACGCTCATCTTCTTCCTCAAACCTGGTCCTGTGTTCCGTGTTCTGGATACTCTGGATGTAGGTGAAGGAACCACATCTGTCCTTTCATACAGCAGAAACCTGAAGGCCTATAGACCCTTTTCTCTCTGTCACTTTCCTTCCAATCATATCCAAGTGCACCACAGAGGCCTGTTGATTGATCTCTTCACTGTCCCTGGAATATTCTCTTTCTCTGCTCCCACTCCTGCCTTGTGTGGGCCACCCCCTCTCTTTGACAGCTTCCTAATGCCTTCCCTGGTACTGCTCCATGGTGGCCCACATTTTCCTCCCCATATTTTCCATTGGTGTCCAAGATGGTCGCCTCCAAATGCAAATCCCTTCCAAGAGTTCCCTACTTAAAACCATGGGCTTCTTGCTATTCCTAGGACAAAGCAGGGCTTCTTACCAGGGCTTTGCAACCCCCCTGCAGACCCTCCTTGCCAGCCCTGCCCCATCCTGTGCTCTCATTTCTCTTGGCTCCTTTTGTTCTTCATGCTCCCTACCCTACCCCATGGCTCCCTTTGCCCCAAATGTTCCCCCTTCCCTTCTTTGGCAAATAACTCCTATGCATCCTGCAATGCCCTGCCCTCGCTGACCAGAACAGAGTCCTGCACTTCTCCTTTGTAGCAACTGTCACCATGAAAGTTTTACATGTGATTTTCAGCAAAGGCCCACCCTAGATCTTATGGTCACCAAGATTGTAAGATTTATGGGGGCAGGGATAGTGCCCCAATTTTTATAATGAAAAATTCAAATATAAAGTTGGGGGAATTTTGGTGCCAACATCCATACACCTGTGACTTAGATTCCACCTGTTTCTGAGCCATTTTGGGCCTGCCCCGCACTGTGCCTGGTGTCTAGCAGGCATGAGCTGAATCTTTGTTGCTCAAAGGGGTCGATGTCCTTCCTCCTCCGGGAGAACGAAGATGTGATGGATCTAAGCAAGGATGTTTCCTAGCCTTATCTGCAAGTGTGAAAAACTGGAAACAACCCAAATGCCCCTGACAGGGGACTGGCTAAATAAATTAGGGTACATCCTACACGATGGGGTTCCATGTAGTAACAATGATGATGTTGATTTGTGTGGATGGACATGGGCGTTTCCGACGTACCAAGGGGGAAAATACCAAAGAGAGTTGGATACGACACTGGTGTTTTGTTTTGTTTTGTTTTTGGTAAAACTGAAAAATCAATAAATATATAGGTAGCGCCTACTCTGTGCCAAGTACTGTTGCAAGCACCCCACCTAGAACAATGCATTTTAATCCTCACAGAAACCCTGAAGGACAGGCACTCCTTATTATTCTCATTGCACAGGGGAGAAAACTGAGGCACAGTGAGGGTAAGTGACTCTCCTCAAACCACACAGCCATTCCCAGAGAAAATGCCTTGGAGGTTACACAGAACATCGCACAGTATTGACAACAGCAACGGTGGGGATGATGTGGAATAGCAGATTCTTTCTCTGCCAGTGGGAATGCAAAATGGCAGAGCCACTCAGGAAGGCGGCCTGGAGGTTTCTTACAAGGCTAAGCACGCGCTGTCACACCATCCACGAGCCATCGCACTCCTTGGTATTTCCCCAAAGGGACTGAAGACTTGCGTGCACGCAAAAACCTGCCTGCCAAATGTCTGTGGCGGCTTTATTCATAACCTCCCCAAGCTGGACGCAGCAAGATGTCGTCTCGTGGGTGGAGGATAAACAAGCACCGGGTGAAGACCAGGAGATGTTCTTCAGTGCACTACGAAGGCACGAAAAGACATGGAGGAAGAGGAAATGCCTATTTCTAAGTCAAAAAACCCTAATCTGAAAAGTGGTATAATTCCAACTCTATGACATTCTGGGAAAAACAAAACTATGGAAACAGTGAAAAAATCATGGGCTGTGAGTTTGAGGGAGGGTGGAAGAGGCACAAAGGGGTGACAAGGGGGAGCACAGGGGATGTTTAGCAGTGAAACACCCTGGGGGACGCTCTAAGGGCGGGTACATGAGTCCAAACCCGCGGGACGTCATCGCCACTAGGGGAACCCGGGTGTAAACCGTGGGCCTGGGTGATAATGGCGGGTCTGTGCAGCTTCTTCAGGGGTAACCAAGGTGCCCTTCGACCCAACTTGATAATAAGGGAGCCTGTGCACGTGTGGAGCTGGGGGTGTCCAGCAAATCTGCACCTTCCTCTAAATTTTGCTGCGAACCTAAAATTGTTCTTAAAGAAAAAAGACTCGGGGTCTCCCTGGTGGCACAGGGGGTTAAGATGCAACCTATGAAGCTGACCGCAGCTATCGCAGCACGAGATCGATCCCTGGCTAGGGAGCTACCCACATGGCGCGGCAGACCTCTCCTGCCTCGCCCGCTGCTCCCCTCAGCAGTGTATTTCAGTCAGTCCACCTGTTCTGCTCCCCACTCTGTCTCTGGTCGATCCTCTCACCGCCCGCACCTCTGGCTTGTAACCCCGTTCTTGTATGCATAAATAAATAAATCTTAAAAAAAAAGTCTGAAGAAAGCAAACAATGTAAAAAAAAATGAACAATGATGTAAAATATATATAAATAAATTATTAAAAATGAAAAAAACTTCCCTGGATTATTAAAAAAATAAAGAAAAAAGTCTGTTAGCACACATAGTGGTAGTTACTGCTGAGCGATCGGATTTAGCACCATTTTGATGTAACTTTCCCTTGGCCTCAGTCATGCCTCATTTCCCCAGTCATCACACCTCACTCGTGTGTGTGTGTGTGTGTGTGTGTGTGTGTGTGTGTGTGTGTGTGAAGGAAAATAGCTTCTCAAGTGGGGAAGCCGAGTCTGCCGGCAGAAGGGAACCCTTGGCCGCGGACCTAGGAATCCTCCTCAGCAGATGTTCCACCATGCAAGGTTCTACACGGCATGTTCGAATCATGCAACTAACAGAAAAAAGCCCCAGTGACCTTTGTCCGAGCTGGATAACTGGATCCCCACGTCCTGGAGGAGCCTCTCGATGTCCTCCAGCCAGGACAGTGCCCCACGCACGATGTCCAGCGCCACCTTCTGGAGCCCCGACACCGGTGGGCTGGTCTGCAGGAACTGGAGACGGTCCACCTCCTTCTTCAGGTCCCTGCTGCAGCCAGACATCCTCATGCAGACCTGGAAGGAGACGAGACGGTGAGGAGACCAGACACAGTCATCGGAAGTAGCCCCGACGTGACTCGCCAGGAGTCTCACCTCCTTGAAGAGGGCAGGTCCTGCCTGGACTGGACTGGGGCCACCGGGCTGTTCTTTGTGGGGGGCAGCTTTTACTGATGGATTTTGCACTCTGCCCTGGAATTTTGATGGTCAGAGCCCTCAGTTCTAGGGACAAGTGATTAATTCCAAAGTCAAACTACCAAGGGCATTTTGGCTGAAACAAGAACCAAATCTGGCTGCTTCTATTCATCCCGATTCCTGCTGAGATCAACACACAGGCTGGTCCGAAAGCGGGGTTTCCTATTTGAAGAGTGCTGACAAGTCTGTGTTTGCACAGACTCCCCAAATAGCAGCTGCTGATTTCCAGAGAAAGCAGAAGCAGCTGTCTGCCCGGATAAGCTCTGTCCCTGCGGGGGTTCTCGGTCTGTGGGGGCGACCAGACCCTCTGGTCCTGGCTCCTCCAGGGACATAGCCACAGCGGTGAAAATAGCCTCTGAGTTGTTGGGCTACAGGAGAAAGTGTGACTCCAGAGCAGGAATGGCCTTTGGATTCTCTGTAGATAACACGGGGTTGTTTTCTTGGCCGGGGCTGGGGCCTCCTGACGCCAGCACCTGGAGTTGCTGGGGGTGCGTTCCTGGGCCACACCAACTCCACCTCCATCTTGGAGGCCCTTGTTGTCTCCAACAAGATAGTGGAGGAGGGAAGCTGAGGGTGTCTGCCCAACCCGCTCCACGGAGGCGGAAGCATTTCCCAAACGAGGGGCGCCACCTTGAGACCCAGGGGACACCTGTGAAGGCAGAGGGGGGCACCTGGCAGCTGTCTAAGGACGACTTCAGCCTCTCCACGTTCTCGGTGAGCTCCTCCTGCTTGGAGCTGCTGAGCTGGGTCTCCTTCTGCAGGCTCCACTTCCTCTGCTGCAGGCTGATGTTGTCCTCCGTGACCTGGGTGATCTTCTCGATTAACTGGTGAGAGAAGGCGCGAGAGGTTTAAGAGGCAAGTGACTCAGGGAGGGTCTGGACAGCGGCTCTGCGGGGACATGGCCCGTCCCCCAGATGCTTCCGGTGACCAGAGGTCATTAGAACCGGAGGCCTGTACGGTTGCCACGAGTTTGTTCCAGATTCTCCTGCCTCGTGGCCATGATTCCTAACACGGAGCCTGCCGCCATGACCCCAGAAAGAGAAGGGCCCTTCTCTGCTAGCCGGCGGCAGCCGCCCAAGGCGTTTTCTCGCCCGTGCTTTGGCACAGAGGGTGGACAAGAATAACGGGAAGAGGGACAAGGCAGGCAGTCGTGACAGCAGGAGGCCCACGGTCCCCTTGATCTCTCCTCTTCAGGAGGAATGAGCCCAGATGTGTGGTTGGGGCCAGGCCGCCCCCATTTTCTCACAGAGCTAACAGAGGTTAATCGTTGTGTCTGGGGACCAGAGATAGGCCTCAGGGGTTTCCTTTGATTTTCACAGGAACATTTCAAGGGAGTTTAACTGGCTTTTACTTTAAAAGCCAGGAAATCCCATCAAATCATAACAAATCTTTGTGCTGTAGCAACAGTGTGAAAAATAAGTGTCTCTAACAACAACAGAAGCAGCTGCTCCTGGGCCTGGAACCCCAGAGCCCCCAAGACGAAGACGAGAGGGGGAGCCCGCCCACCTGCTGATCGGTGATGGGCTTGTCCTGGGACGGCTTCACGCGTCCGTAGGTGGCCTTGATGACCTGGCTCCTAAAGTGCTCCAGCTGTAACACAAAGGGGGAAACTGAGTCAGAGGGGCAGCCTGGGTGGGCTCTTCCCACCGCCCCGGTGCAGGAGAAGTCCGTAAGGAACCTGCACATCTTTCATGGTCATGACGGGTCATTCGGACCTTCACCTCTCTCTGGATGGGGTGGAATCCACGATGGGGAGAGCACAGCAGGCTTTAATCACTGGGTAGGCCGGTCCGCCTAACCCGCCCCGCCCACGTGGTCAGCGCACACACGTCCTGAGCCCTCAGAAGTGCCATTTGCTGCCAATTATCCAGTGGGAAGTCTGGGGCCTGGAGCACTCTTCCCTAATTGCTAAGCTGGCACCAGACTGTGAAATAAATATTGAGGCTGTCAGACCCAGCCAATTGTGTAATCAGCAACCGTGCCCAGGGCTCCCTTCTGCATTTTGTGCCTTGGACTGTACGTGTCTCCAGGAGTGTGTCTTTGGATTCATCTCTATTCTCCGGAGCCTGGTACAGTGCCTGGCACCCGGCAGGTGCTCTGCAATGACTTGCTGGAGGCTTGCATGTAGGGCCAGGGTCCTCTGCTTCAGTTCCACCAGCAGTTATTGAGTGCCTCCTAGGTGCCTCCTTGGCATTTTCAGGTGACAGTTGGTGAGCTAGTGTGGCTCAATCAAATCGAGGCTTCTGAGACTGAGTTCAAGGTGGCCCAGGCACATGAGAATGCGAGACTATGAAACCCAACTTTCTCTGGGATTTCACCAACATGGCGGCCCTGAGTTTTGGTTCCCTGGCAAAATGTTTCCGAGGACTCTAAAATCCAGTTCTGAAGGGACCATGAGGGCTCCTGAATCAACTTAAAGGTCCACAGGCCCCAGGACACAGGTGCTTACTGTACCCGGGGAGTCCTGGGAAACCAAGGAGTGGAATGGAGCACGTCCTGAGGACACCTCCCAGTCAGGCAGCTGGAAGTGGCTAGAGTATCTCCAGCCTGCCCTGTGCTTTCATGCCGAGGGGAGGGTCCCAGCTGGCCCATGGAGAGGGTGATGTACATAGAGAGGGTCTTGTGAGTGGTGGTCCCCCATGGCCACCAAAGACACATGTGGGGCTGTGTGGGGTAGACGGACAATTCTCTGGACAGTGGCTCAGTGTTGGGGTCACCTGCCGCACGGGTAGCAGGGACATGGAGGCAAGCAGGTGGGTGGGAAGCAGAGAGGACCCTCACCCTCCTCGGGTGAGTCTAGAGCGTCAGTCTCCCTGGGGTGCTCTGGGTGCTCAGAGCCACCGCCAGGACCTGGACCCTTTGGCAGGTGGCATAGAGCACCCCAGGGTGTGTTGGGGGTACAGAGTGCTGGAAAGGCGAAGGGGGTAGCCCAGGAACACAAAGGGGGCCCTAGATTGGCAGTCTCTCTTCCCTGTGATGAGGTCGGCACCCTCTGGAGAAATGACACGAGAGATGGTGATGGTGGACGTTAGTTGAAGGGGCTTAAATGCTGCCCATGGTCAGCATGGTGACTTAACACCCATGAGCCTCTGCGGTTCATGGGACAAAACCTGGTCATGTGCTTCATGGCTTGGACTGCACCAAATGGCAGGTCTCTGGAGCTTGCTTGGTGGGATGGAGGGAGCCAAGGGTTGTGGTATATTCCAGACAGTCAGCGCCCCCACCTTGGTTTCCCATTTGCTCCCCCTGGCCCTTTGGTAAAGGCTTGTCTGCATGCTCTGGCCCCCGTGTGCCGGCCACAGGCTGAGGGAGGCTCCTGGGTCATTTTGGTCCAGAGCATTAGAGAAATGGCCCTGGACCAGCCCGGCCAGAGCCCACTCGCCACCCTACCCAGAACCTTCTCCAGCAGCCCTGGGCTTTGACATCCTGGATGTTACTTAATTAAGAAAAGTGTCATTTGTTAATGGACACTGACAGTGACAGCTGCTGGGGGCCCAGAGGAAGAAAAATGGTGATGAATGTCAGGACAAACACTGTGAGAGAGAAAGTGCTGGTAATACCATTGGGGGTAAGAGGCTCAAATTCCCCAAGAAGGATCTGCATGGTCCGTTAATGGGGACAGACATGGAGCCAGGATCGGCTGCTTTGCCAGGGTCCTGCAACCGCAAACAATGAAAGTGGGCGGCTTCCCAGCAGGAAAAGGCTTCATGAGCGCCTCGGGGATGCAGAAGCCACAGAACGCTTCTGCCTGGAGATAAGCGGGAGTGTGAGACCACAGTGTCTTCCTCCTCCTGTGCCCACCAGCCCCGTGGGAGCAGGAAACCTGGGCACAAGGGCCAGTAGAGGGGCTACGGAGCCTACCTGACCTACTGCCCTTTCCAAATTGACTCTAATGAGGTTTTCTCTGTTCCCCATTTCTTGTAGCTGAAGCAATTTCCTTCTGGAATCCTCCTGAAGCTTCTCTTCAACCTGAAATGACGATGAAAGCATGCTCTCGCTGCTAATGTGGTCCTAATGCACTCTGGGGAAATTCTTCCAGGAGGTCTAATGGCCACGGGGGAGGCCCGGAGGCGTGGGGACCCTGCAGCCCATGTGGCAGGGGTCACACTGAGCAGGGGTGGGGTGGAGGCAGTCCCCCAAGAGGCAGAGCCTAGGGGAGAAGGCAGAGCCCTGCACCCTGGACTCGACTCTTGTCAGATCCCAGGCTCCACAGGCTCTGGGCCCCTGGGAAAGCCGGGCAGGGACTGGTTGTCTCATCCTCCTGTCAAACGGGTGATAACACTGGCAAGGGCTCTATGAGTGTGATAGGTATTGTTGTCCATTATAAAAGTGGACAGAAACACCCACCTACTAAGGCGTCAGGAACCAGCTCCTGATGGGTAAATGTTACTTTTTGGTTTATGATCATAACTATTTGTCAGCACCACGTTTAACACACTCACTGGAGGAAACTGCTCTGGGGGGATTGCTAAGCAATGCCTTTTAGGAATTGCAGCCGTAGAAGGCTTCTGAAGTGGGAAAATCTGCCCTTTTACTCCTCTGTGTCGATGGAGAGCTTGGGCGCATTCCATGCTCCCCTCTCCTGGCCATTATAGGAAACTGCAGCTGCTCAATTCATTCCCTAAAGAAATAATTTGGAGGGCCGGCTGATCCCAGGGCTCAGGTACAATCAGGAAATGAGGCAAATGTTGCTAAATAGCCCCAAGCCTCAGATCCAGCTTCAGAGGCTGCCCTCCTCATGCCAGTAGATCCTTCCCGCAGACCTTGTGCAGGACCCCAGCCAGGCAATGAGCACCTCCGATCTGTGATAATTGATAGCCCTGACTCTGTTTTATTTCCTTCTGGTACGTCTTTGCTAGTGCTGGGGTGTGGCAGGGGAGGGTCGCCAAGCCACGTTGCTGCTTTGTGTGCCAGAAATCTTCAGTGACGCAAATGCTCTGTATCTGCACTATTATGGCAGCCATGAGCCACATCTAGCTATTGAATACTGGCGTGGCTGAGGAGCTGAATTTAAACGTTTTTTAAATTTTGGTTAATTTTGATATAAACAGTTGCAAGAGGTTCGTGGATGTGCCTAGTGGTGGGTGTAAGACAAAGCTGGTTTCCCACATTCCCTTCACTTACTGGCTCTGTGGCCGTGGTAGGTACTTTACTAGTGACTAGTAGCCTTGAATCTCTTGTCTGTAAAATAGATCATTGAGCTATTGTGAGGAAGAAAAGAGAGACAATGTGTGGCCTAATGACTAGTACAGGAGACATTGTAGCTATCCTTTTGCCATCACTACTAATTGAGGATGTAATCACATCAGCCCGCTGTTCCAAAGCCTTCAGAAGCTCCCCATTACTGATGTAGTATTCAGCCGGAGCACTGCAACTAATGCAAAACCCAAGCCAAAGACTCAGGAAACCCACATGGACTCCAAACAAGGTAGATAAAAATTAGTCCACACCTAGATTAGTCAAAATGAAAGTGCTGAAAATCAAGGGAAAAGAAAATCTTATAAGCAGTCAGAGGAAGCTTATACAAAGGTACAATAGTTATACTTACAGGTGACTTCTAATTAGAAACAAGAGCCAAAAGACAATAGAAAGAGCTACCTAATCCTGCTGATAATGTGCTGGATTCTTCCATCACTACATAGAATTCAATACTTAGGCAAAATGTGTTTTAAGTGTGAAAATCTGTCTTTAGGGGTACTGTGAAAGAAGAGTAGAAGTAAGAAACTCAGTTTATACTGAATTTTGTTAAGTCAAGGTAAATGCTTTTTCTGAAACATTTCCAAGCTAATATAGAGAAAAAAGGAATGACAGAAAAAAATCAACTCAAAAGTCAAGAGAAGAGAGAAAAGGAATACAGCTCAGATGGCATAAATGGTGCCGAGGAAGAAGGTAAATGTAAAACAAACACACCAACAATTACATTACATATAAATGGACTAAAAGGTAAAGGTCATCAAACTGGATTTTATAAAAATGATATGCTATTTAGAAGAGATATAGCTAAAGTTTAAAACAAAGTTTGACAGAAAAATATGGGAAAGATATGTGTAGGGTAAGGTAAAAGGTAGCAGGCTTTCCTGCCCTCCCGCCATCAGGATAGATGATGGATCCCTGCGGTCCTGAATGCATGCCTGATGGCGGACACCTGGAGTAGGGTGTGGGCATAGGTAGATGGGATTCACCTGGGCTAAGACTGGGCTTTTAAGGGCGGCGTCACGGGGACGCCAGCAGAAGCCGAGAGAAGCCGATGCAGAGAAGGAGAAGCAGAACCATCAGAGAACGCTGGAGAGCCTAGACAGAGTGAAGACTTGCTGGGGGCTGGGAAGCCTGCCAGCCTCCCGGCCCCCCAGTACTCCTGCCTGCCGTGTACCTGGTAAATCCCAATAAAAGCCTGCAAAAGCCACTGAGGACTCTGACTCCTCCTTTACCCGGTCTGCATGGGATCATAGAAAACCTGCTCTGTGTCATTCCTGACCTTACAATATGCTATGTAAAGTCTAACCAATAAAATCGAGGGTAGCTCTTGGAGTCTATTAATGACAAGGTAGGCTAGTTAAAAGATACTGCTAGAGATGAAGAGGGGCATTTTATGATGGCCAAAGGTTTTTTTCCAACAGCAAAGATTAAAATTCTAAATTTATGTGCACCTAGTTACACAGTCTCAAAATACATAAAGCAAAAATTGACAATACTAATAGAATTCACAAGTCCACAATCAAGAGGAGATTTAAAAAACACATCTCTCTCAACAAATGATAGAACATACAGACCAAAAAAAAAATTGAGACCATTTCAATTTAAACAACATCCTTGGAAAAATTGATTTAATGGACCAATTCTTTTCTGGATAAATTTACAAAGATAAGGTAGTCTAAGGAAGTGGCTACACATGGGAACTTTGGAGTCAGAAAGACCTAGATTCAAATTCTGACCCAACTACTCTCTCTGAGTAAACTTTAGTGACTTCCTTCACCTTTGTGTGCCTCAGTTTTTTGCACCTGTCAAGGTGGGTTAATACCAGCACTGACCACATGGTGTCACTGTGAGGATGGAGGGAGGTGATATAAGAGGCACTAGCAGCCCAGGTGGTCCACTGGGCCAACACTATCCTTGCTGTACCTTGCTCTTTTCCCGAAGCGTCTTAGAGATCATGTTCTGTTCGGTAGAACTCTTCTTCAATTCATCCTTGAGCTTCTTCATTTCTTTTTCCATGTCTTGGATTTGCTGAAAGAGTTTCAACAACCGGAGAGTCAACTTGATTGGAAAGGGCTGAATCTTCGTAACTCATTTCAGCTGGTCATTAAGATGGACACCTAGTCTGGTATTCGGGTAATTTCTTCCCTGAGGGAAAATTCCACATCTGTAGGGCTAAGTAACCTTCTTTTCAATATAGATATATTGAAAGTGCTGAGTAAACGCATGTGATTAGTTTCTTTTGAAAATCAGCACGGATCCTGGATTAAACAGTACAAGACATCCATCAACTCATTAGAATCTCTTCTTTAGGGATGTACTTTTGGGATCAATGTAAATAAGGCTAGTAGAAGACACAATGGGCATCACCTGGGGGAACAGAACAATGAAAACCTTCTGTTTCCCAATTTGAGGCAGAGAAGAGAAATGACCCCAGTGTGGAGAAAAGCATGTCTCCACCTCACACCTAGAGTGCTGTGCTCCCCAATGGGTGGAAAATTAAAACTGGTTGTGAGCAAGAGTTCAGCTGACTTGGGGAATGAATATTTTCATTTTGATGGTCAAATTATCATTGTATTTATTTTTGCAGTCACATTCTATCTAAATCAAAGGATACCTTTTCTTTTTCTTTTATGTTTAAGGATGGGTATAAGATGGATGTACTCAATTAAAAATATGTCAGGGAGAATTTTAAAGAGCAACCACTCATTTATGAAGACACTGATAAACAGACAAGAGAACGGCAAGGACTGATAAACCTGGCTGAAGTCAGGGTTTCCCTTCTACACTTGATCTTAGCCAAAAGGCCGAGAAGCAATTTTGGGTGGTTCCCTTCTAAATTAAAATTAACAGGTGGTTCCTATAAGACGCCTCTGAAAATGGGTATCAATATAGGAACCAAAATTTTGTAGTTCTAGATGCTTAGGGACTCCACACCTGCAGGTCTACAGGCGCCAGGTTTTGGTGAGAGCCACCGTGATGGGCTCAGAAGTGGCCATGCCCTCCCTGCAGGTGGACAGAGTCCAGGGGCTCTGGGGCCAGGCCCCACCCTCGCTGTGTCATCACCAGTCTTGCCAAGAGGTCCATTACTGTTCCCTTTTTTGTTGCCAAGTGAACTGTAGGCTTATATAGCGTGGAATCCTCCAGTACATTCACACTGTGGCTCTAAGCATTGACGTGAGTCATAAGTGAAACCTGCTTTGTGGAAGCGAGTGTGTAGACAGCCAAGCCTGATACAATACGGTGGGACACAAAGGCCTGGCCATTGCAGGTCCAGGGTAGAGGACCAGAATGAATTGCTGGCAGCGTGTGGGGGTCAGGAGGTCACCCGTTCCCCCCCATCCTCATCCCAAGCCCAGCACCAGGGGAAGCCAGATGAGGACCTGGGAGGAAACTGTCCAGAGAGTCTTGGGAGAGTCTATTTCCCACAGTCTTTTCACTCATCTCTTTGAGGCCAGAGGCAGCAAATCAAAGAATTCTGAGACTTCATTAGTGAAAAAAAGACCAGAAAACACCAGCACTTATGCCATCCAGGGGGCCGTGGCTCCCGGCATGCCCCGAAGGTCACCTACCAATGGCGGGGGTGGGGGTGGGGTGAGGGGGTTGGTGTTTCAACTCACAGTTTTATAGAGTTTTAGCTCTTTCTCCTGGTTTTCCCTGTGCTCTTTCTGACTCTCTTCTCTTTTTAACTCTTCTTTCAGCACCGAGCACTGCAGAGAAAAGGACAACACAGAAAGAGACTGGTGTCAGCCATGCCTCACGACAGAAGTGGCTTGGACCCTGGCCTGTCTGACCCCGAAGCTCGTGCTCTGACTTCGACCGGCCTGAGCACCAGGCTGCACTGCTCTCCAGCCTTTGCTTTGGAACTTGAGGCTCTCTCCCTGCCCAGCAGGAAGGGCTCTCTGCGGCAGCCTCTGTGAACCTCCAGATTGGCAGCTGAGATGAAAGTCGGTCATTTTCACCTTGACTCATTCCATCGTGCCCATCGCACAGACACCGAGACATCTTTGCGAATGTCTGATCTGCTTGGAATGCAACGTTTGCAGAAAGTCAAAATGACATGTAAACAGCTCCTCAGTGGCTTATGTAAGGCTCCTCTCTCTTCGGAGGGGAATTCATGTGTGCACTGAAGCAGGAAGGCCAAAGAGGAAGCCCCGGTCTGCACCTGGCCCTCCAAACATTCTGCTTTGAAGGCGACTCTGAAAGCCATGAGGCCCAGTGGCCCTCACCCCCTGGAGACCCCCTGGGCAGTTTTATGGACCCTTCCAAAGGCGATCCTGCCTGTGCCTGTGTTTGCCCTTGAGAAAAACAAATGAATTGATACTCGGTATTAGAAAGTTTACTCCATTTGAATAAATATTGTGCTCATTTTGGGCCAGCTACATGCCATATTTAAAAAGCTGCAAAACCTTGCTTTTCATCTTCTGGGTGGCCAAGTCTGGCTTTGGCCCATCCTGCAGCTCTCCCCCGTAAGCCCTTGGGCACCGGCCCCATTTTGCCATGTGAGAGGAGGGCCAGGTTTGGAATCCAGGGCCTGGGAATAAAGGAGACTAGTGTGTCATACAACTCCACCTTATTTGCTCCCCAAATCTCCCCTCAAGCTACAAACAGCGATGATGAGGTAACACTCACTCTGGAGTTGAGGGCGTCCAGCTGGTGATTCTTTTCTTTGTTCTCACTTTTCAGCTGATTCACCTCCTGCTTTAGCTGTTGGACCTGCTCATCCTTGTCTAGCAAGTCTTTTTGCAGAGAAGACACTATCCCTGTACGGAAAAAAATTCACAGTGGTCAAAGAGGCAGTAAGGATTGCTCACCACTGACACCCTGCTTGTGAGGGTGCCCCTTCCAAGCCTGGGCTACCTCTGGAGCTTGCCTGGAATGGAAGAGGTTTACCTCCAAGCATCTCAGAGCTAGCAGGCTCTGTTCCTGGGGCTGAGAAGGCCCGGGCGTTCTCCAGCGGCCATGATATGGATGGGTTCATGGCAGAGTGGACATGTTGGGGGCGGATGACAGCTGATGGATTCACTCTCATCTAAGTTTGGAACCGTCTCTACCACTTGATAGCTTGGGGGTCTTACCATTCACCAGGCACTGTATCTGCCCACAGAGTGATCATAAGGGTTCAATGAGATGACGTATATAAAGTATACAGTAGCGAGGCTGACCCTCAGTGTTTGTTAATGGTGCCTATTATTTTTTGTGGAGCCAGCTCCAAAATGGCGCCACGACCCTGGGCTCTTGGAATCCCCACCCTTGAATAGTGTAACCAAATGTGATACACTGGGTGGCTTCCTGGGTTGGGTTGGGAAGGACACCACGGTGGCTTCTCTGCTCTCTCTTGGATGGTTCACCCTGGCCCAGCCAACCACCATGTTGAGGACGCCCCAGAAGAGGGGAAGTGGGGGGAACCAGCCTCCAGCCTGCAGCCACCCCGGGCCAGCCAGCCTGGAGCAGCAGGGGGCCTCCAGCCTGTAGGTGCCCCAGCCTTGGGGCAGCCCATGGAAGAGCACGAGCCAGAACTAAGTTCCCCCCAAATTCTGAACCACAGAAATGGGCGAGATACTAAATATTGGTTAGGTTTTGCCCACTAAATTGTGAGATGGCTTGTTACGTAGCAGAAGATGATAAACGCATTGTTGTGTTCTGTGGAGGCGGTGTGGCAAGGCGGGTACAAACAAATCAGTAATTTTGGATGATGGCACAAGGGTCTTTTCTTGGGAGAACATCAGGCTTAGTTGTACTGGTAAGTGTCAACCAAGAAGGCTTGTGAATAAAGAGCACTAGGGCCAAGAATTTCACTTTGAGGGCCTCCCCTGGTGGCGCAATGGTTGAGCGCCGGGCTGTGAAGCTGTCCGCAGCCTCTGCAGCGCTGGTTCGATCCCGGCCACTGGTGAGGGTCCCACATGGCGCGCAGACCTCTCCTGCCGCCCGCTGCTCCCCTCAGCAGTGTACTTCGGTCCTTCTGCCTGCTCTGTTCCCCGCTCTGGCTCTGGTAAATTCTCTCACCCTCCCATGCTTCTGACTGTACCCAGTGCTTGTATAAATAAATAAATAAATGAATGAATAAATGAATAAATAAATAAATAAAGCTTTAAAAAAAAAGAATTTCACTTTGAAAGTCAGCTCTGTCCCAGAACACAATTAAGTTCCTTGCAAAGAGGTCACTCCCTTTGGGCTTGTCTGTAGGCTCGGCAGGTGCCGCCGGAGCAGCTGCCCTTTGAGTTATCTTGGCTTCAGTGGAGGCCATGCCTTTCCAAGCCCCGCGTGGATCAGGGTTCTCCCTTCTGCATGAGGGGAAAGGAGTGTGCTTCCAGATTGTTCCCTCTGCTCCTGTGGGTGGATTTTCCTGCCCACAGACCTGAGCTGACCAGTACTTAGCTGAACACTTGTGGGGACCCCCCCACAGATCACAGGGGCAGCCTAATTCTCCCTGGCTCTTGGCCCAGCAAACCCCAGCTGTGCTGGTCTCTCCAGCCCCATCCCCTTGCCTAAGGGGCCTGCTGGGCGGGGCAGGGCCCGACTCTGGCCTGCTGACTGCAGTGAGGGACAGTCTGCTGGTCAGCCAGCCCTCGCGGCTCATTCTCCTCTCGTGCCATGTGCTGTGTGGGGCTCAGTGTGTGAACACCATGGTCTCATCTTTGCTCTGCTTGTTGTTTCTCAGCTGTCTCAGGCCAGGAGTACATCCAGGCCCTGTTACTCCTTCCTGGACCCTGCCTCGCTCATCATGGAAGCTGGGGGTGTGATGGCCTCTGGCAGTGGCTCCCTGAGTGGCTGCCATGAGCAAGGGCCCTGTGGACCCACCACAGACCCCAGTGTACCCACCATGGACCCCAGTGGAAGCAGGAAGTGAGCCATTGAGACTTGGGGGCCGTCTGTACATGCATTCTGTGATCCAGTGCTTCTTGTACTTGCACGTGTCCACAGAAACCTGGGGTGCTGACCGGGTTCTGGCTGAGAAGGTCGAGAAGATGGCCTGAGACTCTGCATTGCTCAGAAGGACCCAGGGAATGTTGACCCAGGTCCTTCCAGCCCACCCCAAGTGTTACTCAACTGGCATCCTGATGAGAGAAAGTGGTATCGAGCTGTGCTTGAAGCTCAAGGCAGGGGAGGGACAAATGAGTTTATTTCTGTGTTCCTGGTGCCCACGAGGTGCCTGGTCCAGTGCAGGACATTCTGAGGTGCAAGCACCTCAGACAAGCACGTGAGGACATTCTGAGCTCAGGAGAGCAGGGGCAGAGGCCTAGTGGTAGAGTGAGGGATGCGTGGAGATGGGCAGAGAGGGGGCAGCGCCCAGGCTGGCGGGATTCACAGACTGACTCACACGCGGCTCAGTGCGCTGCTTTTGCAGCTGTGCATGCGTTTCCAGCAGAGTACCAGGGACTTTCAGAGCGATGTGCCCTACCCCAAGCGGCCTCTGCCACCCTCTCCCTCTCCAGAGGGATTCTTTCCTGCTTTAAAATCCCCAGTGGTTTCCCATCACCCTTAGAATAAAGCCCAGACACCTCCTCAGGCTTCACACAACCCACAATCCCTTCTCGTGACATGCCAGGCCCACCCATGTTGGCCTCTGAGGCACAGCCAGTTTGTTCCAGCCTCAGGGCCTTTGCCCTTGTCTTCTCTCTGCCTGCAACACCATTCCCTCCCATCTGTGTCTGCTCTGCTCTTTCACCTCCTCAGAGACCTGCCTTCCCCACCTGCCTTGCCCACCTGCCTTGTCCAAAATTTATAAATTAAAATATTTTATTTACATGATTACTTGTTGAATGTCACCCACCCCCAAATGTGACCGCCACGAGCACAGGGACTAACTGTTGTGCAGGAGAATGGAATGGGCACCTGGTAGGTGCTCAGCAAACCCGTCCTAGGATTGAAGGGGCCCGGCTTTGGGTAGTTGTGCCTGGACCACGCCCTCCCAGCTCCTACAGTAGCGAACTCCCTGTGGGTCATTTAGAAAAATGTCTTCACTCAGGCCCAGGTGCCCTGGGGTGAAGGAGTTAGATGACCGTGCCTCAAAGCAGAGACCCCGCTTAGCCCACATTTGGTTTGTGACCAGTGAGCTGGCTTATGGAGGGCCCTTGCCACCCAGCATCCTGAGTTCTTGCTGGCGAGGTGACAGTCTCTGGAATCTCTATCAAACCCTTCCTTCGAGTCAGGCCCTACCCTGGGAACTGGCATTAAAGCTCAGGAGGATGACTCTAATTCAGAGACCCACAGCAGCCTATGGAGCTGTGGACACCTCTGAGGCTGCATCCAGGCTCAGAGAGAAAAAGTGCAGCAGTTGATTGGTGATGTCTGCCCTGGCCTTGGAAGCAGGGGGTGGGGGGGCGGTGGCTCTCGGGCTTGGCGCCCCAGGTTGCTCACCTGCGGACAGGGCCTTGTCCCGCCTTAAGTTCTCACCCTCTTTCTTCAGGTTTGTGATTTCTGAGTTCCTCTCCAACATTGTCTGGCACAGCACCTGGCTGTATCCTTTCTGGAGGGCGCCGATCTGTAGGAGGAGGAACACGGTGAGGTGCCGGACAGTCTGGGTCTGCCAGAAGCACAGGCACTTCTCCAGGGCTGGGCAGGGAGACTCAGAATGGTCTTTGGGGTTTTTTTTTAGCTTTAACTAGTGGAAGGGACAGCAGAGGACGTGTTCAGTGACCACCAGTCCATATCTTTGTGCCCACAAAGGGTTATAAAATTATTAATGAATATTTAATATTAATATTCAATTATTAATTCATTAGAAAGTTAATTCATTCTAGTGATAATAGCAATTGCTTATATTTCATAGGAAGCCCTTCCTGCGTCCAGCTTAAGAAACCCATCTTAAGCAGAAATACGGGAATCTCTGTCAGCTGCCAAGTCACCATGTTGGCAGGGCGGAGGGCTCACCACCAGATGGTGCCAGCAGATAGTCCCGGCCCTTGGTTACTCCCTGAAAATCGTGTTAATCGTGGTGGAATTAACCGAAGCATCAAGATTTCACAGGTTCTCTGAGTCATTTTTTTTAAACCCTAGTGGTTCAGGTTCTATGGTATGTGGGGCAGTTATGCTTCCGTTCTCCCTGGGACATCTGAGACATCAAGGGAGGGGCCAATGCCAAAGTTGGGGAACGCAGGTCGCCCTGTCCTGCCTCCCTCCCAAGGCCACACTTTTGCATGTGTGGAAACTTGGAGTATAAAAAAATTCCCCTCTTACTGTTCTCTTTGGGGGAAGTGCAACCTTCCTGTAAAAAGGTACTTGGAATGATTTTTGAAAAAAAATGCCTCCAGCTCGTCTTAGCCTAACGCGTCTATTTTCATGATACCAGAGGAACCACACAGAGAGAAGATTCCAGAAGGGATGGGCAAGCCGGCACACTGCCCTCAGACTGGGTGCTTCTGACAGATATAAAATATTTCATTCTGCGTGCCAGAGTTTTAGGATTTCAAATTGTGGGAAAACTCCAAACCATCCTTAAACATCTCTATCACCTTCACTCCCCAAATAAAGATAAAGATATTGGCTTTAATTGTTGTAAATTCCAGGATGGTTAATGTCTGTTATACTAGGTAATAAAATGGGCACTGACTTGAAAGAAAGTTAATAGCATCAGGAGAAGGGATTGCCTCCAGGTAGTAACGCAGCTGCTGATGAGCAGGCAGCACGGGAGGCCCCAGAGCTGAGCATCTCCCAGTGATACTGAGAGGATCGAAGGTCTTAGAGCAAATCGCCATGCACACACTTTCAGGGGTCGAGAGAGAATATATAAGGCAATAAATCAACCTGTCGGGTGGCGGTTCCTGTGGCCGAATGTCCTGCAGGCAACAGGATACTTAAGAAGCTAGAATGTGAGCAGGAGGAAACTGGATGAGCTCAAAGCAATGGCTGCCTCTGGTTCAGAAATGCCTTGTTCTAAATCACTCCCTTTCTGTTATAAGTGAAGACCAAGGGGTGGGGGGAGGCTACCATGTGATGAATCAGGGCCATTATTTCTAGATATTTTCTTTGTAAAAAAGATTGCTCCGGCAATCACTCACCACTTTAAACAATACTCAAATCGTGACTTGCTGACATGGTTATGCGGGAATTGCTCCTCCTCGTCCGTGTACCTGGACAGGCCACGCTCGACCTGGCTCAGGAGAGCGGGAAGATGACTGGAGGGGTTAGTTCTCCAGCCACTGCAAAATGGGGTTCAGATAGAAAAAAAGGTGCTTGCCAACGGGTTGTGACTGTTTGTGGGGGTCAAGTTAGTTGTTTTCTGGGATAGCGCCTACAGGGCCCCCCTGCCTTTGCTGTTTTTTCAAACAATGAAAGTCAAGACAGTCATTTGTTCTTTTAAATATTGGGGAGTGTAAATGTCTACTTGTTCAGGCCTCACTGGTAAGTGACTGCAAAAATCAGGGAAGGCAAGGATCAGGTCTATCTTGTTCTTTGCTGAATTCCCAGAGCCTGGAAGTGGCATGGCACAGGATCAGCACCCAATAAATATTTATTTGAATGAATGAATGGGTGGATGATGGATGTGTGGGTGGGTGGATCGATGGGTGGGTGGGTGGATGGGCGGGTGGATGGATGGGGGGATGGGTGAATGGATGGATGGATGGATGGATGGATGGATGGGCGGATGGGTGAATGGATGGATGGATGGATGGATGGATGGATGGATGGATGGATGGAGGGATAGGTGGATGGATGGATGGATGGGTGGATGGGTGGATGGTGGATGGGTGGATGGGTGGGTGGGTGGATGGGCAGATGAGTAGATGGGCAGATGAATAAATGAACAAACAGACAAGGTTCAATCAGAGTTCTGAAGGGCATAGTCTGCCTTCATGGAGCTTACAGTCTCCTGGGAGAAGCTCCTAGGTTCACTACACACAACCTGTGTCCTTTCTAGGGCACCATCTCTAGGACTGGAGCTGAAACAGGAGCCAGAGAGAAAAGGCCTCACGCATAACCAGGGTTTTAAGCAGCAAATGCACCGAGGGCAGAATTCATCCCGGGCCAATTTCTTTTTCATCAACTTCGTTGAGATATACTCTATCTACAAGATCAACAGCCAATTTTAAAGTGGTTCTTTTTTAAGAAAAAATTATTGTTTAGATCTAGTTTCAAGAGAAAGGCACATGACTGGTAAATCCAGAAATTCCAGGTAGAGAATTTTTGTTTGATGACATTCCCCATAAGTGAGCCAGTGAGCAACCGTCTTCACGGTTTGAAAAACACCGAGTGTTTGGGATATGGGGGTTCCTTGTCCTCATGCTCAGCTGCTAGCACACAGCCTGATCTGGCTGGGGTGGGGTGGGGTGAGAACTGGTCATGGAAGTGAGTTGGGGGAAGTAAGACGTGCAGGTGAGAGCATGGGGTCTGCAAGGAGCAGACCTAGTTTGGAGTTACACCATTACCTCGACCTTGCTGTGCAAGCTGTACCAAGTTCCCAGGCCTTTCTGAGCCCGCTTCAATCTCCTCACTGGTATAACGCTACGTGTCAGATCAAGCTGGTGCATGGAAGCCTCAGTGCTTGCATGTAGTAGGTGCTTTAAAAAAAAAATCTAATATTCTTAAAGACTGGGACCTCACCAGGCTGGGACCTCACCTCCCTAATTCCTGGGAGCTGTGTGCTAACCCACCTCGCTATGCTGACTCATCCTTCTCTAGCTGGGCGGCTCCCCAGGACCCACCTGGGAGTTGTTACCTGGGTGTTGACCCTAAACCCCTGACTGACTCGCCTCTGAGTCCTACCTGGTTTTTCAGGTTCTGGATCTCTTTCTGTTTGGCACTGATGTCTTCATCCAGAACCTTCTGTGTGACCACCCTCTCTTGTCTGGAGGTGACTGAGTCCGACAGCTTCTGACTCAGGTCGGCCAATTCATTCTGCAGGTTTGCTATCATGGCGTCTTTGTATTTGGATTCAAGTTCAAAATCTGAGAGGCGGCTGACTTCTTTTCCCAGCAACAGAATTATTTCGTCCTGGGTGGAGGTCAGAAGGGAAATTTACTAGGTGGGGGTCTGGGTGTAGGGCTGAATCCATTAAGAAAATGTCGGTTGTGTTTGTCACTTGGAAAACTCATAGAGACAAGAGTTTGATTAGAATAATACTCCTGTAAAGGCTGTTTACACTTCAGTGGTGAGGAAACTTGCCTTTTGCGTTCAATTACGCTGTCATATTGAGAACAGCCTTTTTACTTGGGAACTTTGGTTGCTAGAAAATTAACTTATATTATTTTTTATTTATAATATTCAGCCTGGCACACAGGGGGCCTGGGAAAGGTAATTAGGAAGATGATATTCTACTTGATCACATTCTGCTTATAATGAGGGCTGTTTTTTAGTTAAAATTTTTTAACATGTTCTGAAATAATGCTTTCTCTCTTTCCTCTTTTCTGGCATCCCCTGCCCCTCTGACTATAAATAAAAATTTATTCCAGGTAACTGAGGCTGGGAAGTAATGAGACAGGAATGGTGATTTGTTTGTGTGGCTCATGCAAACTATAGACTGGAAGGAACAGATGCTGACTGGCTTGGCCCACAGGTAAAAGGAACCCAGAGCTCCAATGCCTCAAAAAAGGAAGAAAATAAACACTGCAACTAAATAATGTGAACTAGCTCAAAAGAGGCTAAAAAAAAACCCCACCCCAAACTTCTTACAGGAAGTCATCAATAAAATGTCAGAAGGGTGGACAAAAATTCCCCAGATGTATTTTCAAGGGTAGTGACAGAATTCTGCTTTGAAAGAGATTTCCACTCTTGCAACAGTTTTCTGTCTGGTGGAAGGAGGTAAATGGTCAGTTTCAGCCAGTTCATGGCCTGGGGAGCCACCCAGCCAGCCTCAGGAGCTTCCAGCTCCCTGACTGGGTGAAGGACAGGATTGTGGTCATGACTGCACCGGGCTGGCATTGCTGACAGCCGCCAGGAGTCTTTCTGGGGGTCGTTGCAAATGTTCATACAAAAGCTCAAGAAATGAGATCAAACAGATTCCATTCTCCCAGGAAGTTCCCACTTCACACAATTATAAGTCTTTCCAAGCTTCCATGTTCAGTCAAGTGCTCATTAATTATTCATTATTGAGCAGCAACTATTCCAGGCTCTGTACTGGGCCCCGGTGGGTGGAAAGAAGCCTGCAGGGTGTGGTTTCTGCTTTTTCAGTGCCTTCCATGTGCTCTTGGTAGGATGTCAATCATGCCCTGCTCCCTCACATCCCTCTTCCCTGTGTGCCTGAGCCCCATCAGAGATTTCATATATTGGTTCCTGGAAAGGCTCTTGTCTTCTTTTGAAGCATTGACATTCCATTTCTAGGCGTGTGTGCTTGACTTTGTCTTTCCAACATATGAAGCCAGCCTGCTACAGAAGCCAAACTCCAAGGGAAACAGAAGGGAGAGGGTGGTGGGAGGGGTGGAGGGAACAACTCTGATAACATCATTCCAGCTCCTGGATCTAGCCATACCTGATGCTAGTCGACTTTTAAATTTTCTAGTAGGTAAACTAATAAATGCCAAAAATAAATTTTGGCCTAAGTTAATTTGTTTATCTCCATTTGCACTTGAAGTTGGCACACTGGGGCACACTGGCTCATAAACAGAAAAAAAGGTAAAAATGTGATTTCATTATGTTTATAGTTTAACAATTGGGCTGGATTAAAATACGAATGCTCTGCAGCTTCCGCTAACAAGCGGTGGGGTCTACTTTCTCCACCCCCTAAGTCTGGGGTGAGTCTACTTTCTCCACCCCCTAAGCTCAGACTGTGACTTGTTTGACCAAGAAAATTTGGTGGAATGATGTTGAACAATTTCTAGGCAGGTTCTTAAAAGGCTTTACAGCTTCTGTCTGGCCCGCTAGGAACGCCAAGACCACCACACTATGAAGCTACCTGGGAGGAAAGCTAGGTGCAGAGAGAACCCACAATTCAGGTATCAAGGCTGAGGCCCCAGGCCTGGGGGTGAAGTCATTTAGGACCATTGACCTGGCCAAGCCACTGGCCAACTTTAGTTCCATGAGTGAAGTCAGGGGACACCTGCAGAAGAAACTTCCAGGTCAACCTGTAGATGCTGGGAAATCCCAGCTTGCTGTTTTAAGCCATTTGGGGGTCACATATTATGCAGCCTTTGAACCTGGCTTCTCACCTCACGGCAACAGTTAGCAAAGTCTGACACCTGACATCTTGGTAGGATGTCAATCATGCCCTGCTCCCTCACATCCCTCTTCCCTGTGTGCCTGAGCCCCATCAGAGATTTCATATATTGGTTCCTGGAAAGACTCTTGTCTTCTTTTGAAGCATTGACATTCCATTTCTAGGCGTGTGTGCTTTGACTTTGTCTGTGTCAGAACCACTTGAAACCTCAAGTTGCAGGTTCCCAGGTGGAACAAGATCCTGGGCAGCTCTGCTCAGTCTGCGAGCTCCTTCCAGCGCAGGCCCTGGGCCTGAAGGCAAGCAAGCTGCTGTTGCACGGCTGCTTTCAGGGTAATTTTCAGGTTGTGCAACCAATGGGCCCCTCCCCAGGACTCCTCAAAATTACCCGTTTTGTGTCCCATTTCTGTTTCACTCTCCAAACCTCTTTGGTACTTCAACAAGCTTTTCTTGGCTCCTTTCTCTCTGGCCTCAGTGTCCACTTCTCACTGTTAGCACTTCTTACTGTTAGCACATTTCCCCATCGCCCGGGGCTGTCCCAGCAGTTGCTGTGCGGGAGTTAGAAGCCCCGGGTGGGAAGTTAACTAGACCTGTGCTTGAATTCCAGCCCTGCCCCCCACACCACTGGGCTTTTGTTTCCTCAACTGTAGAACGTAGAAGAGGGTGATAAAATCTGTGTTGATGATGGTGAAGATTAAACAAGTGAATTGAATGTCAAGTGTGCGGGACATGGTCAGGCACACAGTAGGTCCTTACTACTTTGTGGTTGTAGGTGTTATCTGGGATAAAATAAGCAGTTACCAAACTTCTGGTTGAATGCCCTGCCAGTGGCAGGTCCCTCTTGCTGCTGTAGCTCTGTCCTGCCCCAAGACCCCTCACCTTTTCGTGCTGGCCCAGGTCCTGTTCCATATAAATCTCCCTGGGAATTCCTGCTCCAGGAATTTCCTCAGTCACTGATGGTTCCGACAGGTCCATGGCATTGGCCCACACTAACACATGAGATCAACAGACAGCACAGAGGAGATGGTGAGTTTTCCTGGGGCCTTGAGAACATTTCAGATTAACCTGCACATTCATTTCCCCTGAGATTTGCCTTTTATGTAATTAAAAAGTTACGCAGTGGGCTATATCCACAGAAAGGCAGTGAAAACACTCCAGATGTACTGAAAAGGGGAAGTCACCTCATTCCTCTTCCTAGTGTTAGCTGATTCACCATGAGGGGTCTCTTTCTAGACTTTTTCTGTGCCATGTAAGAGCTTGGGTGAGATCTACATGTACTTAGACCACAGCTGACATTAGGCTGCAGCCCTGGCTACTAGTGTGATGCTTACTTGGTAACTGAAGTGACAGAAGCCAAAGGTTAGGAATACAGCCAGGTCTCCTGAGAAGACATCCCTTCCTCTCTGACTTTTCCTCTGACACTAAACCTTGCAGGATCTAGGTTTAGTTAAAACACATCCACCCACACCCATATGTATCTGCACATGCATACACCTCTTCTTAACAGTGACGTTCAGCCTGGAGGAGGGTCAGAGAAAAGACTCAGGAAAACAAAGGCAAAAGAGCTGATGGCCATGGGCTGGTTATTCATTCTAAGTCTCAGTTTCCAGATATATAGCTTAGGGACACTAATAGTCTCTGTATGGAGGGCTGTTACTGAACACTACATGAAATAATGAAGAGCAGGGGTTGGCAGATTATGGCCCTAGGGCCAAACCTGGCCCTCTGCTTGTTTTTGTAAATAAAGTTTTATTGGATCACGGCTCCAGTCATTTATTTACATTTATTTGTGGATGTATTCCAGCTACAAAGGCAGAGTTGACTAGTTGCCAGAGAGAACCTAATATCCACTGTGTCTAAATATTTACTGTCTGGCTCTACCACAAAATATTGTTGGTCCCTGATGTAGAACACTGAGCACTAAATGTTCGCACGTTTTATTATTGTATCTTAAAAAAAAAAAAAAAAACAGAAAGGAATTTATATTATAGAGATTTTTCTCCAGCTTTTCACTTGATAATATATAAAATATACCTTCCAATGTCTGTAGCTATACTGTATGTTTTTTTTAGCAGTCTATTGTACAAGATTGTCAAAGTGTATTTAACTAAGATCTACTTGATAGGCATTTAAGTTTCCCTGATTTTTTTTCTAGTTACCCTCAATATTACCAGAACTGTTTATATGATTTTCAGGGGTTCTGGCATTGTTTTATTTGGAGGTTCCATTGTACATCACATCAAACATACCACATCTCATTCACATCAACACTGAATACTTTTTTTTTTGGGTGTAGAAACTTTTGAAGGTGATTTCTATAATTCTGCTTTTGAGATGACTTGGCGAAGTGCTGTATTTTTAATTTTCAACTGATTATGATATCTGGGCAAAGGTTATGCATCCTTGTCTTCCTACAAGTGAGAAATTGAGCCAATTGTCTTCAAAGGTAATGAAACATTAATGACCATTAACCTTAATAATGAATGAAGTCACATTGTCACATTTACAAACACTTATTACATCGTGCCTTCTTTCTGATTTTGCATTTTTAAAAATGTAGTTTGGAGCCATGATTTTTCCTTCAGGTCCCAAACGTGTCTGTGGCTCCCAGGACCACTGGTGGACATAGCCAGTGGCCTTGGTCTTGGGGAAGGCACAGCTCTGCTTGTTGATCACCAGCCGGAGGGACTCCCAACCACCTCGCTGTCTATGCACCAGAACAGGCTGGGATCACAGGAGAGTTCTAAGTGTGCATTTCAATGGGTTGGATTTCCTAGTTGTTTCTCAAAGGCAACAAAAACAACCAATCCAACACAATTCTTCCCAAGAGGAAACAAGTAAATTCCCTCAGTTATGCCCAAGTCATTTACCACCTGTGCTGGTAGACACATCCAAAGTCAGACACCACATTTTCTTTATCCATTCATCCACTGATGGGCACTTAGGTTGTTTCTATATCTTAGCAATTGTAATGCTGCAAAGGACATGGGGGTGCACTTCTTTGTTGACTTAATTTTTTTTGTTCAGAAAACCTTCATTTAGTTCAGTCCCTTCCCTCCGTCCGTTGTGTTCTGAGAGCTGGGTCTTAACTGACTACTGCAGAGTTGTCTAATAGAAAAATAACGCATGCTATGTAATACAATTTAGAATTTCCTAGTAGTCACATTAAAAAGGTAAAGAGATGAAATTAACTTTAATAACATTTTATATAACACAATGCATTAAAATATTATCACTTCAATATGTAGTCAGGACCAAAACTGAGATATTTTACATTCTTTCTCTTTTAGGTACCAAGTCTTTGAACAGGCTTATTTTATATGTGTGATGCATCTCAATTTGGAAGCTCAATTTTCAATGGAAAGACTTGATCCATATTTAGATTTCATAAAAGCTTATAGTTGAAAAAGGAGAATCACATTTCTAAGATGTTCCAAGCCTGTTTAAAACCTTCTGATAACTGAATCAAATGTTGGTTTTTCAATTTTAATGAATGAAAATGAAGCATCTAGTTCCTTGGTCATGTTTCAGGTGCTTACACATGGCTGGTGGCCATGGTACCAGAAACACAGGACTGGAACCCTTCCCTGGTTCTCCTTTACCAACTACATCCTTTCCTGCCAAGACATGTAACTGGATATAAAAAAATGAATAGGTGAGAAGTGAGATTTTAAAAAATAACCTTTAAAATAAATATAAAAAAGGGAAGCATCTTAATTCAATTTTTTGCTGTTATATTTATATAATGATATCAAACAGTATTAAGTCAAAGTATTATTATGAAAGAAAAGAGCCACCTAATTAAAAAATATCCAGTTTACTAGGAAGATGTCACAATTCCAAACATGCAGGGGCCTAATAACCCCACCTCAAAATAAACAAAGCAAAAATTACCAAATTGTAAGGTGGAATGGAAATCTTATCATTATCATGAAACATTTTAATATTCTTCTCTCCATAATTGATAGATCAAGCTCATCAAAAATGTAATTGAAGATGGGGAAGATTTGAATAGCTCAACCAGACTGATCTTATAGACAAACGTAAAGTCCAGCATTAATGATGCATGAACAGCATCTAATTTTAAACATCCATATATGCAGTAAGTTTACTGGAGTGGAAGGTGTTTGCGATATATTGTTGAATATTAAAAAGTAGGTTACTGAGGGCCTCCCCGGTGGCACAGCGGGTTGAGTGCAGCGCTGTGAAGCTGTCTGCAGTCTCTGCAGCACAGGTTTGATTCCTGGCCTGCTGGGGAGATAACCCACATGGCACGGCAGACCTCTCCTGTCCCGCCCGCTGCTCCCCTCAGCAGTGGATTTCAGTCAATCTGCCTGTTCTGCTTCCTGCTCTGTCTCTGGTGAATCCTCTAAACCTCCCGTGCCTCTGGCCTGTACCCCAGCTCTTATATAAAAATAAACAAATCTTTAAAAACAACAACAACAAAAAGTAGATTACTGATGTTAGGGTGAAATGATTCTATCATTGGGAAAAATATAGTACATCAGCATATTTTAAGGAGTCACCCGACATGTTTTCTGTTGTCAACAATCCTTCCTCCTGTAAGTTCTTGCCGTTAAGACTTGGCCTGGGCCCTGAGTTTTTATTGCCCATGGAAGGAGGAGGGTGACAACAAAGCATAGAAGGGCAGTTTCCTCTCTCCTCCTGGAAAGGTCTGTGTATGAGGAACTGAGGTTTCTCACCAACAGTCATGAGCCTGTGCCATCTTGGAAGTGGATTCTCCAGCCTTCAGATGACCACAGCTCAGAGAGCCCTGAGCCACTGTCACCCTTCTAAGCTGCTGCCAAATTCCTCACCCACAGACACTGCATGAAACAATACATTTCCTTTTGTTGGTTTGTTTTGCTTTAGGATGAGCTTAGGGATAATTTGTTATGCGCTAATTGATAACTGATACATACTGCGTGTTACTTTTACATCAAAAGACAAATACTATCACCCTGTTGTTTGGATGCTGAAATATTTGGAAGACTGCAGATAGGTGTGATTTATTTTGAAATGCATCATAAATAAGACGGAGTCATGAATGAATACGAGGATGGCTAGACAGGTAGATATGCCCTCAAGAGTATAGCAGCCTCCCTGGTGGCACAAGGGGTTAAGCACAGCACTGTGAAGCTATCCGCAGCCTCTGCAGCACGAGTTTGATCCCCGGCTGGCCAGGGAGCTACCCACATGGTGCAGCAGACCTCTCCTGTCTCCCCGCTGTTCCCCTCAGCAGTGTATTTGAGTAGAGCCACCTGTTCTGCTCCCCACTCTGTCTCTAGTGAGTCCTCTCACTCCCAGCTCCTCTGGCCTGTACCCCAGCTATTGTATGCATAAATAATTTTTTTTTTTAAAAAGAGTGTAGCAGCAACATATTAATGGCAGAATTAGGTGTGGGGTTCTCTGCAAAATTTTTTGTTTTACTGCATACTTAAAAGTATACAGTAATATTCCATTTATATGGTAATAGTCCATTTATATGGAAATGTTGGGGGAAAATGACTGAATTTCTTAACTTGAGGGAGTGATGACATGAGGGTTCTTTTATTGATGATGCTCATGAGAGTGACAACATCGGGTTTCACGGACTCCTCCGTTTGTGGTTATGATGGTTCTCTCAGTGGTGGAGGGAGGTGATGGTGTGAGTGTTCCTGATGAGACCCGGGGAGGGTGTGGAGTGTTTGAGAGAGTTGGGGACTCAGCAGGGCCTGGGGCTGGGACACCGAGGCCAGAGAATAGGGCCTCTGACATGAGGAGACCCAGGAGCCACGCCGGGGGCTGAGACACGTGGCAACTCCGCAGGGAGGCTGACGAGCCCAAGAGGACAGAGACAGACGGGAAATCTCCCCAAATGCCATCAGGGCTCCAAGGGGGAGAAGCAGAGGGAAGAAAACCCTGAGGCTGTGTGTGGTCCAACTGACCAGGCTGGAGTGACAGTCACTGAGAAAACCAGCCTTAAATTTGACTGGAAACATTAGATTGGACACCCTTGCATCTGTCGCCTCTGGCGGCAATTCTCCCCAATAGGCCTCAGTTTCTTCCCACCTGGAAAATGGTAATATAACAGTTACACACCTCCTGGGGCTGTTGTGGACAACGGAGGTTCAGCTGCAGATATTTCTGCACATCTGAGACAAAGTGTGCACATTTAAACCCTGGTACACACTCCTGTCTGTGTGCACACTCACACTCACACACGCACTTCCCCAGGGGTGCGGGCTGTGCACAGGGGCTGGAGGGACCGGCACCAAGGAGTCAACAGGGGCGCTCAGGTGGCAGCTGAGCTCTCCTTTCTTACTTTCTGTTTATCCCTGTCCCTCCCAGCACCCAACCATTGACGAGGTTGATTTTAGAATCAGAGAAAATGAGCAAAATGCAAGACCCATTCTCATAACTCTTGCCCACCCCCCAGAACAGGGAAGCTGGGGGTACCTTGCTTGATGAAGGGAGCCCCTGGGGAGCTGTCCATCACGAAGGAGAACATCCGCCCGCTGGTGCTCACCGGCCGCTGGTTCAGGCCAGGCGGGGCCATGGTGGGCCTAGGGAACCCCTGGGACCAGCTCCTCTGCACGGGTGTTGGCCGGGCACCCTGATGGAAGGGCATCTGTGGTGGTGAGGATGACTCCTTTGGCCGCTGAGTGGCTCGAGGCGGCTGTGGCCTTGACCAGAGAGTCGGGCCATGCATCCATGGGAAGGAGGCCTGCAGGGCAGACAAGAGGGTCAGGGGCGGTTACAATCAGCTGGGGCAGTTTCCATCCCCTTGTCCCATTTAGTTGCTGTTCCTAGGCCTCAGCTTTATAAGTCACTTCCCCCAGGAAGCCCTCCCAGACTTGCTCTAAGTTGGGGATGGTGTTCTCCACCCTGGGTCAGTTTGCACACCATCACACCACATTTTACTGGGTTTGCTTCATGCTGGGCAACCTGCCGAGAGATTCACAAGCATTGCCTCATTTAATACACCTGGTGCTCTGTGACGAGCAAGGCCTGGTGACTCTCGCTGGACTACAGACTTGGAAATGAGTTGTTGAGTCGGTCACATGTCACCTCTAAGAGGATCAGGCCTTCTTGCCCATCATGCTCACCACTGTATCCTCAGCAGCTAGAACAAACGGCTGGCACTGGCAGGGCAGGCCCTCACCTGCTGGGTGAAGAGCAAAAGGGCAGACTCTGGGCCCCGAGTCAGCTCTCAGACCCTGCGGTCTGCTCCTTCTATTCACATGTCAGACTCCCTGGCATTTAGCTTCCATTATCCCCAAAGTCAAGTGCTCTGAATGGCAGGGACCCTGATGGTCTCACTAGCCTTTGCTCACCCACATCCAGCACACCCAAGGCTTGGCAGGTGCTCTGTAAATATCTGTAGATGATGGCATCTTCTGACCCTGTGTGGGTCTGGTCTCAGTGGACAGCACATCGAAACCCGCCCAGCCATGGGGAGGCGCTGCTCAGAGGGGCTGGGCCTGGCTGTCTTGTTTTAAAGCTGTTTCTCCTGCTGCTTGGTGGCTAAACCGGTAACGGCCTGTAGGGGGAGGCCCTCCTTACTCCTGTTTTATAAATGAGGCGTGAGAGGTGAAGGGTGTCCCCAAGTTCAGGTAGATATAGAAAGGGAATGGGATCTGTTTTGAAAACTTCTCTTGTCTGTGTCTGGGTCTCCCTCACCAAGCCTCCTGCCCAACATCTTGGCAGAAAAAACCCAAACTTTTCAAATCTAAGTTTAAAGATTTGCTGCCTATGTTGGGGGACCTGTTCTTCAGGCTCACATTTGTCCAATCTCCGTCCACCCCTGTCCCAGAAACTTGCTGGTGACAAGGAAACAGGCAGGGGAAAAGCAAGCGTAAGAAAAAGACTGACAGTGCAGGTGTTAAAGTCAGAGCTATCAAGCTATCGCCAGCCACTGCAGCATGAGTTTGATCCCCAGCAGGCCAGGGAGCTACCCACATGGCGCAGCAGACCTCTCCTGTCTCCCCGATGCTCCCCTCAGCAGTGTATTTCAGTCAGTCTGCCAGTTCTGTTCCCCACTCTGTCTCTGGTGAATCCTTTCACCCACCCCCATACCTCTGGCCTGTATCCCAGTTCTTGTGTGCATAAATAAATAAATCTTAAAAAAAAAAAAAAGACTCACATTAAAAGCTAGGCTGGACTTCTGGGCTGGACATGTTAGAAAGTCCTTGGAGTTTGGGGGTCAAGGTCAGTTACCAAGTCTTTAGATATTCCAGTTTAAAAACATGTGCCAACATCTTCTTCCTTTCCCTCTTTCCTTTCTTATCCTCTTGCCATATGTTACAGAGTTGTTTTATGGCTTTATTTTTGAGGAAGCATATGTTATATTTCTGATTTCTTCCAAGTTTCCTTTAAAATAGCCGGTTGTCAGCCATCTGGATTCAGGGGACCACACCCTCTGATGTGTTTATGATAAGCTTGAACAATCACCGGTCAATGATTACCTCAAGAAATCATACATTATTTTTTTTTCATCTTGTCTACTTGTTCTTTGTGTTCTCTCCAATGTGTTTCTAACCCCATAAAGGGTGCAGGTTGAATGCGACAGGCCACCTGGATTCTGCCAGCGAGCCCCAGAGGCTGTGGCAGGGCGGGAGCCAGGGCTGGCCCTTGGAGAGCTTGTTGTGTGCCCTGCCCTCTGTGAGTTATACCAAGGCCGTGACAGCTGTGGGTCACCGTGGAGAGAAGCCACCAGGTGCCAGAGCCCATGCGGTGCCCTTCACATGTGTGACCCCATCACCAGAACAGTCTCAGGATGGGGGAAGCATTTTTACCCTCATTTTGTGAATTAAGAAACTGAAGCTCAGAGGGGTTAAGTGACTTGCCCAAGGTCCCACAGCCCGAAGTGGGGATGCTGTTTGATTCCAATGCTTGTGCTCTTGGAGTGTCTGGGTTATTAGAAGTCATGATTTATGCCTCCTTTCCATACTGGCAAAGGAATCTTAGGTGACTGGTTAGTGAAGAATAAGAAATTTTCTGAGTTAAAAAAAAATAAGAGAAATAGATGGTGTGAGAAACCACAGTACATCAGCCAATTGGAAAAGGGATTATTTAGGAGCCTGACAACTTGCTTAGAGAAATGTTATTAATATGTTATTAATATGCTGCACCTGGGAGGCAGCTCGAGGACCCCACCTGCATCCAGGTGGATCTATGCCCCGTTTGTGCTGCACTGGGGGTGCTGAGTCAGCAGTGCCCACTCATGAGAGCTGATCATTAAATATTCTGGAATTTTGTAAGCTGGCTGATAAACACAGCCATTCATAAAATTAAATTATAGAAGAAACTATATTTTATATTTTATAATCATCTCCGCACACTGGAGATGCTGCAGAACAACCCCCCACCCCGCCCCCATCTCTTTCCAGCCCTGCTTGGCGATGCTTCACTGTAGCCTGAAGTCAGTCATGAGGAGAATATTTATACCATAGAAATTGGGAGGCGCTATAAATCAGAACTTGTGGGTTTTTTTTTTTATTGTTTGTTTGTTTGCTGACTGTCTACACTTAAGAAGAAATGGAGAAAATGTTAGCAATACAGATTATAAAAAAGCACGTCTTGTCTGCAGTCATTACGTTGTGAGTAGCACCAAAAGTCGAGGCTTTCCAGGACTGAAAAACTATAATCTAATGCAGCAAAGAAATCACTTGGGTCGTTGATGAACACGTGCAGTTCCGATGCACACCTTGCTTAATTTGCTTTTGCCTTACTCATACCGGCAAACAAAAATATCCACCAATGTTCAGGCTGGGAACTCACTCGTTGGCCATTTGCAGTGGTAAACTCAATACCAATAAGGGATCATCCAAGCGCTTGTCCAGGCCGGTGACACTCCCTGTGAGTCAATGGGCCACGTGGAATTCGCAATACAGAGCATTATAGATTTTACTATTATTAATTATGGAGAATGTGATGTACACTCTCTGCATTGCTAAACTGTACACGACAAACTCACACTTTTCTTTCCCAGAGAAAAATACTGGTGAGCCTATCACTGGCTGTGCCCAGCACCAGCCCAGTACATTCTATCCTGTAGGTGTTGACTGAGCCAAGTGGTCAGCAGTCAGGGAATAAGTAAGAGGACCTTTGACTTACTCTAGGACTAGGGTGGGGAAAATGTTCAGAAACCTGGCACGTCTCACAGTAAGAACTAATCCCAAGTGGAAGGGCGGGGCATTCTTTTGGGAAGTGAGCCAGGGGCCAAGGGTAGGAGAGTCTGAACAATGAAATAGAAAACGCAGTATTGGCTTATCACCCGAAGGACACAGTGGATATACACTGGCCCATGCTGATGCAAACACCTGATCGAGTAAATAAACGGGGAAAAGAGACTCTCTTCCTTGCAGAAGGATCCACCCTCTGTGGCTATGCCCTCCTGCAGGCTCTGGGGCTAATGCCCACTGTCGCTGCCCCTCTCCCCTCTCCTTTGCTGGTGGGCTCCACACACACTTGCGTCCAAAGCAGAGAGCATGGAAAGTGAGAAACAGTGACTTTACAGTGGAGAAACTTGGCACACACAGCTTCCCGGAATGAGAAGCTAAGCTCCCCAAGGATACATGCGGCTATAGGGGATCCCTGTGTGGTTTGCTTTGCCCACAACTGCAGTCTAATCGGAGAAAAGCATCTGATAAACCAGGAAGGACATTCACCAGGCTACCAGGAGACACCCTAGACTGGAAATCACAGACATCAGCACTGGAGGCCAGCAGGGGCACCATTGGCCCCAGGGCAAAGCGCCTGCACCTCAACAGCTCCTGGACGGTTGCCAGCATTCAAAATGGGGTCATGATGCTAAGTCCCCAAGAAAGGATAAATTATGTTCAGAATTTGCAATGCCAGAAATCACATCGTGTATTCTAGAGCACAGACCGCCAGGTTAAATATTGCTATTAGGTCTTGGAGCTTAAAGAAGGTGACTTTGAGCTGTTCACAAAGTTGTTTATTTGGATTTTCACTAGTTTGGCTACTTTACAGTTTTTTCTTTCCTTTCAAGTTCTAATTAGCTTCCTGGTGAGTCCATAAAATAGGAAATAGAGTCTAATGAGAAACACCCAGTTTTGCACCCCAAATTAGGAGTCCTGGCCTGGAGTGATCTGCAGAGTGGTTCTGACTGGGGGAAGGGTGCCATCTTGAGAGACCTGGTTACTCCAGCCTCTGGGTCAGGAGCCCCTCCTCCTGCTGCCAGGCTCCTGCTGCATTCCAGGCACAAACAGGCTTTGATGTTGCTCCAAGCGGGATAAGGCAGTTGGGTAGCAACAGCAGAAAAAAACTGGCCCAGATTTTCACAGCTAAATGTGGATGGGGCATCCCAGCTGGGCAGCTTGAGGGAGCTCTAGACAAGAGGAGCCTAGATTTAGGCTGCTCTGGGCCCCCAACCCCAGGGTCCTGTCTGGATCCTCTCCATTGTATTTATTTATGCTCAGCCGCCTCCCGGAAAGGCCTGTAAGCCTCACAGGCTTTCGTCTATGCAGAGTGCTTGGCACTGGGGGGTTAGGACGCGCCTCTTCTGTCGGAACACAGGGAATGGATAGGAATTGTGTATTCGCCATCAATGAGCTGGACCATCAGCCTGCAGGGTCACTGCTGTCACCGGCCCTACCCTGTACATTATGAAATGGAGGTTCCGAGGTGTCTAATGGTTCATTTGAGAGCGCACTGCGCAAGCAGGTGGCAGATCTGGGATTCTGACCAAGTTTGGGTCCCTTACACCCTGTCCTGCCTCCCGGCCACTGTGTGTTCCCGTGATTGAGCAGACACCGGCATGTTTCGCGTTACATTTTGCTGAAACTGGGGCGGGACCTTAGGCCATGATCCCTGGGATGCTCTGATGGGGTAGAGTAACAGGTGCTGGGGCTGAGCATCCACTCAGGACGCACACACCGCTGAGGCGCCTGAGAGCTCCTCCCGGGCCCCAAAGCGAGGACTGGACAGCGCGCTGACCTGCCTACAAAGAAGCACCTGCTGTTTCCAGAAGCAAACACCTGTTGGGACAACGCTAAGGTTGCATGGCCTCCGCACCCTTCTGGCATGTAATTCCAAGGAATGCCCAGCAGATCTCCCGAGCAAGCGCGTCCCCCCGACCCCGCAGGTCCAGCCAGAGCTTGCGGGTGCCGAGTCCCCAGGCTGCAGCCAGTGCGCAGCAGCGCGCAACCATCACCCTGGCCAGTCTCCACCCCGCAGCCGCATCTGAGTCCCCCGCTGCACCCAAGTCCCCCAGAGCGCGGCCCCCCACTCCGGGACTCACCGAGGATGGGTTTTCCATGACCAGTTCATAAGCCAGCCCTCCAGACCCAAACTTCAGGACGTCTCCAGGTAACAGCTTCACAGCCACATTCTGAATGTGACACTCGTTGACGAAGGTGCCATTGCGGGAATTGAAGTCCTGGAGAACAAAGCTGCCCTCGGCCTCATTATATTCAATGAGCGCGTGATGGTTGTCGATGTCAGCAGACTGCAATGGAAGAGTTGGAGGGTCATGGCCAGGGAGCAGGAATAACGCTGGGGCTCCTGAGCTAGGTGTCACCCGCACTGCTGCCAGAATGCGGCACACGCCCTGCATCACCAGGTTGCGGATCAGAGATGCTAAGTGAGGCCACACACCTAGTGCTTGGTGGGGTTGAGATATGTGATTTGTCTGACTCTGGACCCCAACTAGGTGTCCAGAATGTTGGGGGGTGGGCAGAATCAGCACAGAGACAGAGGGAACTTGGGGGAGTCTGGATGGGGCATGAGTTTGGCCAGGGAACTGACCACTTTCTGCACCCCACATAGATAGGCTTTGGGTTGTCTTGAGTGGCAAGACTTAAAGCACAAAGGGTCCAGATAAACCAGAGAGGTCAGTTGCCAAGTGACAACTGTCCATTTTCTTGTAAGGAAAACACCAAATTTATGGCATAGGATGTGGGTCATTAAGGGGAGGTTCTGTAAGTGATTGCTGTTCACTCATTTGTTCTATTCATTTAAAAAATAACATGTTTTTCTTATTAATGAAAATGAGAACTTTAGAAAATGAGAGTGCAATATAAGTCTAACACAAGCAGAAGAAAAAAAAATTAGAAGAGAAATAACTGAAATAAAAAAAAGAGGAAATCAATAGAGAAGACCAATGAAGCCAAAGCTGGTTGTTTGGAAAGATCAATAAAACTGACAAGCCTCCAGCAGACTCATCAAGAAAAAAGAAAGAAGATACAAATTGCTAAAATCAGGAATGAAATACATGTCATCACCACTGCTCCCATAGACATTAAAAGGACAAATTATGAAGGGAACGTTATGAATAATTCTATGTCCACAAATTTGATAAGAGATTAAATGGATCAGTTTTGTAGAAGATATAATCTGCAAAAACTTGCACAATTAGATAATCTGAATAGGCCCACATCTACTAAAGGATTTGAATCAATAATTAATAATCTTCCAAAACGGAAAGTACCAGACACAGATGATTTTGTTAATGAATTCTATTGAACATTTAAAGAAGAAATTAAACCAGTTCCCTATAATCTCTTATAGAAACTAGAAGCAGAAGGAACATTTTGTAATTTATTCTATGAGGCCAACTTTTTTTAAAATTCTCAAACCAGACAAAGAAGGGAAACTGCAGCTCAATATCTCACATGAACATAGATGTAAATTCCTCAACAAAACATTAGCAAATAGAAACCATGTATAAAACGAATTACATGCCACAACCAAGTGAAACGTATTCCAGGTGTGCAAGGTTGGTTTTTTTTTTTTGAAAATTAATTAATGTAATTCATCGCATCAGTGGGCTAAAGAAGAAAAACCATACGATGATATCAATGAAGAAAGAGCACGTGACATAACCCAACACCCATTCATAATTTTAAAAAATCTTGGCAAATTAAGAATGGGGGGAGTTTTTTCAACCTTACAAAGTAGAAGTCCTAACACTACAAAAGTCCTAACACTAACATCATACTCAATAGTGAGAGCCAGAAACTTTCCTATTAAGATCAGAATAGGGCAAAGATGACTGTTTCATTTTCAACATTGTACTGGATGTTCTAGTTAATGCAACAAGAAAAGAAAAGGGAATGAAGGAAGAAATAAAACTGTCTTGACTGTCTGTGTAGAAAATCTCAAAGAATAAACCAAAGCAAAATAAAACCACTGGAACTAACAAGCAATTATAGCAAGGTTGCAAGATACAAAGTTAATATACGGTCAATTGCTTTCCTATGTATTCGCAATAAGCAACAGGAATGTGACATTAAAAACACAATATCGTGTACATTAGCACCCCTCCAAAGGTAAATAGTTATAAATCTAACAAAATATGCATAAGCTGCAGCTGAAGAAAACCACAAAATATTGACAAAAGAAATCAAAGAAGACTTAAACTAATAAAAAGACATAAGTACTCATTTATTTTAGACACACATTTGAAGCATTTTGATTGATAATTGCCCAAAACAGGAAACAAGCGAGCTGTCCTTTAAAAGGTGAATGAATAAACAAATTGTGATACATCCAAATAAAAAGAAATGAGTGGGGCCTCCCTGGTGGCACAAGGGATTAAGACACAGCTCTATGAAGCTATCCGCAGCCACTGCAGCACGAGTTTGATCCCCAGCCAGGGAGCAACACACATGGTGCAGCAGACCTCTCCTGACTCGTCCCCTGCTACCCTCAGCAGTGGATTTCAGTCAACCTGCCTGCTCTGCTCCCCACTCTGTCTCTGGTGAATCCTCTCACTCCTCACACCTCTGTTCTGTACCCCAGTTCTTGTATGCATAAATAATCTTTTTTTTTAAAAAAAGAAATGAGCTATCAAACCAGGAAAAGACATGGAGGAACCTTAAATGTATATTGCTTAGTGAAAGATGCCAGTCTGAAAAGGCTACAAATGTATGGTTTGCACTGTAGAAAATTCTGGGGGAAATAAGATATTAGAAATAGTAAAAACATCAGGGGTTGTTTTAAGTGCTCAGATCAGAATAGGTTGGGATGAACTGGTGGAACACAGGGGATTTTAGGGCAGTGGAATCATCCTGTAAGCTACTATAATAGCAGATACTTGTCATTACATCTTTGTCAAAACCCACAGGGTGTACAACATAGAGAGATCCCTAATATAGACTACAGGCTTTAGTTAATAATAATATCTCAATATTGACTCATCATTTGTAACAGGTACTGCAAACATGGAGAATGTTAATAAAAGGGGAAGCTGTGTGTGTCTGGGAAAGCTGTACTATTTGCTCCATTTCCTATAAACCTTAAACTGTTCTAAACAATAAAGTATTTTACAAAACATTAAAACACATTAGTTCTTTGGCAAATGCTACCCACGTCACCTTCATCACCAATCCCACTGATCACATGTCTTGGTGCTCTACCCCTTGCTAACCCACCAAAGAGAGAAACTCTGTGAGGCCTTTGTTTTTCTCTTCCCAGGACTCAGTACTTTCGATTCCTCAAAAGCTTTCAAGCCATTATTAAGAAATCAAAGCAAGCAGGAAGTTTTGAATGAGTCCACAAAATGGGAAGTGTCTGCCAAATGTTAGGCCAAGAGAGAGCTTCCTAGGGATTCCTCACAATACAGCTGCCTCCTCTGGAAAATTGGTAACAGGTACTACTAGACAGAAGCCCTTCTGTTAATGTAGGCTGGGTGTTGAGCTGAGCTGTCCCACTGTGACAGAAGCTGTTGTTGTTGTTAACTAAGCTGCTTTGAGGTTTTCCGGAGCTGGGCATTGGGTGTGCATCTCCTCACTTCATCAGCATCACAGCCCCATTACTATCCCCTATAAATGGAGACTATAGACTCAAAAGGTAAAGTGAGAGGTCAGTGTTACCATGATACCAAAAACTGACATTTCAACAAAAGGGAACTATAAACCAATATCTTCTCATGGACACTGATGCAAAAACCCTCAACAAAAGCCACTAGCAAATTGAATTCAACAGCATATTATAAGAGTTATATACCATGACCAAGTGGGATTTATTCTAGGAATGCAGGATTGCTGGTTCAACATATAAAAATCAATCCATGTAACACTTCGCATTAACAGAAAAAAGGGGGAAAGACAAATAGGGCTATCTGATGCAGAACAAGCATTTGACAGAATTCAAAACTCTCTGATGATAAAAGTAGTAAACAACTAGGAATAGAAGGATATTGTCTCAACAGAATGAAGACCCTGTGTGAATCGCCCGCAGTGTACTCAATAGTGAAAGTTTTCCCTCTCAGATCAGGAACAAGATAAGGATACCTGACTTTGCCATTTCTATTCAACATAGTACCGTAAGTCCTAGCCACTGCAGTCAGACAAGAAAAAGAAAAATGCACTGAATTTGAAAGGAAGAAGTGAAATCACCACTGTTCACAGATGACATCACACACACACACACACACACATACACACACACACAACCCTAATGATTCCACACACCAAAAACCCTATTAGAACTGATATACCAAGTCAGTAGTAAAGTTGTGAGATACTAAATCAACATGAAAATCAATTGCATTTGTACACACTGACAATGAACAATCTGAAAAGGAAATTATGAAAAAAAAGTTTCATTGGTGATAGCAACAAAAGAATACAATACTTTGGAACAAGCTTAACCAAGGTGGCCAAAGTTTTATATGTTGTAAAGAACGAAGCATTGCTGGGAAAAATGAAAGAAGACACATGCAAACAGAAAGACATCTTGTGTTCATGGATTGGAAGATTTAATATTATTAAGATGTTAATATTATTATTATTTTAAGATTATTTATACAAGAACTGGGGTACAGGCGAGAGGCATGGGAGGGTGAGAGAATTCACCAGACACAGAGCGGGGAGCAGAACAGGTAGACAGACTGAACACATTGCTGAGGGGAGCAGTGGGCGAGACAGGAGAGGTCTGCCACGCCATGTGGGTATCTCCCTGGCTGGCTGGGGATCGAATCTGCACTGCAGGGGCTATGGACAGCTTCACAGCACTGCACTCAATCTGCTGCGCCACCAGGTAGGCCTAAGATGTTAATATTATTAAAAAGGATCTATAGATTCTGTGCAATCCCAATCGAAATCCCAGTGGCATTTTTTGCAGAAGTAAATTATCCATCCTGAAATTCACATGGAATACTAAGGGACTGAATAGTCAAAACAAATCTGAAAGCAAAAAAGAAAGCTTGGAGGTCCTGATTTAAAAACTTATTACAAAGCTATGGTAATCAAAATAGTGTGGTACTGACAAATAGACCAATGGAATAAAATAGACAGCCCAGAAATAAACCTTCACATGTATGGTCAAATGATCCTGACAAGAGTGTCAAGACCATTCAATGGGGAAAGGACAGTCTTTCAACAAACAATGCTGGGTAACTACCAAAGGATGAAGTTGGACTTTTCACATTATACCAAATTAAAAAATTAACTGAAAATGCATAAAAGACCTAAATGTATAAAAACTAAAACTATAAAACCTTAG